TGGGATGAGAAGAAATAGATATGCCCAAGAGGCAAAGAAGGAATAATCTAATTCAAAGCAGAACTAACTGAATTATGAGTGGGAAACCAAGCTTAGAATTTAAATTGAGTATAGATATAAAGATAAGTTCATCAGATTACACTAATATTTACATAATGGAACTCAAGGTTTTTCTGTCTTAGATTTTTAGTGTCCCAGATAAGAACAAGAGGAATAGAATGGATCTCTGATGTTACAACGGATCACCCATCAACCACAAGTGAGACTCCACATTAGCAGTACACCAGAGACAATGACTGATTTATTCTGGATTGATTCCTTCAATATGATATCCTAATTCCTTCTATATCTCTACTCTGGATTCATGTAAAATATGTTTATTCTTGATAAATTTGCTACTATCTCTATTTATTTGTATCGCTATCAACATGAGAAAAGACCAGCTTTCAAAAGCATGGGCCTCTTTGCAAATACCTTACCTTGTTTAGAAAATGTATGCAATTTTAGCATTCTTTTTTCTCAATATATGTTTTTATTTAAATTAGAAACGTGAATGTTTCACATGTCAGTCCCAGCTCCCTCTTCCACCCCTCCTCCCTTGTCCCTCCACCAACCCCTCAACCCCCACCCAATCCCCACATCATTCCCCCAGGGAGGGTGAGACCCTCCTTGGGGGGGATCTCTAAAGTCTGTCATTTCATCCTGGGCAGGACCTAGGCCCTTCCCCATGTGTCCAGGCTGAGATAGCATCCCTCTATTTGGAATGGGCTCCCAAAGATCATTCATAAACCATGGTGAACACTGATCTACTACCCAAGGCCCCAGTGATTTCTGTGGCCTCCTCCCTTGCACTACATTCATGGAGTCTGGATCAGTCCCCTGTTGGCCTCTCAGCCATCAGTCTGGGATTCAAGAGCTACCCCTTATCCAGTCAGCTGTCTTTGTGGGTTTCATCATCATGGTCTTGACCCCTTTGCTCATCACTCCTCCATCTCTGTCACTAGGTTCCAGTAGTTCAGTTCAGTCTTTAGCTGTGGTTATCTGTCTCTGCTTCTATCACTCCCTGGATGAAGGTTCTAGGATGATATATAGGATAGTCATCAACCCTATCATCAAGGAGGGGTTATTAGTGTAGTTTCTCCACTATTATTTAGTTTGCCAGTTGGTGTTATCCTTGTAGATATCTGGAGATCTCATCCGAGAACTTTTACTCCAAGTTCTCAGGTTCACCTAGACTGACAAAATCAGTAGTTGGTTTCCTGAGGCTCCGCTGACTAACCATTATTCTTCTGAAATGAGGCTCTTGACCCTCCTCTTTGACCATATGGTGAAGCCCAGGCACTTTTGTCAGGATCACATTTTATATAACCAAAATAGGAAATAAGTTATATTGAAATATTAATAACAAATTTGTGATACAGCACCACGCCTGCTCCTTTGTAACACAGTTCCTACATGGACCACTTTAATGACCACCATTGTTTTGAAATGCCGATGATCAAAGGTTTTTCAAGATTGATGTCTATGATGACTCTGACAGCAACACATCTGTGATTTGCACAAATGATAAATTAACCAGTACTGATACAACTGTAGTTGATTCATTTGTGACTATATTCAGTGTGAAGAAATCCTATACTTTAGCCAGTTAAGGAAAACAACGGTGTAAGTTTTCTTTGCATTCAAGTACATGGACTGTGGTTTCCATCTAAGGAGTGGGGGTACCCTCTCAAGAAACATAGTTATCAGCCCGTGTAAAAGATGCTTCCCTTGCAATCAGATAAACATGGTTCACTATGATACAACAGAAGAGAAAGGATGTGAATCATGTGCTTTCTGGAAGATGTAGAATAAACTGGTCTCCCCAACCATGGGGGCACCTATCTCACTGTGTGGCAGCTACAACAGTTACATCACAGCTGATTAAGCACTTCATTGGAAATCACCAACAGTCCTACAGTTTCCTGCTTCCGCATTCAAAGTCTTACTCCCTCTAGTTCCAAATCTCCTTCTACGTGCTTTGCAAACCTTTGCTTGTTGATTTATGCATTCATCAACACCTCTGAATTCCTCAGAACCCCTCAGAAATGGCGTATTTCAGGGCATTCTTTTTGTTGTTACAACCAACCCCCATTTGAGGAAATGGATAGTTGAAGATGACAAAAACAAGTCAAGGTCAGAGAGCAGTTCAGGGTCATCACTTCCACCCTGGTTCTATGTGCTGGTGTGCTGGCCTTGCTGGCTATGGCTCCCAGAGGCAAAGAGCCAAGCAGACCTGGCTGCCATGTGTGATAGCTGAATGGTGGGATCAGATGAATGAACGGGATAGAAAAAGGGTTTCTTTCAATTCACCTACTGTGGGCAGACTCTTCCAACAGGAAATAACAGAGTAGAAAGGGACAAACTATTTTCAATACGAAAACAAAGAGACAATAGACTGAGGAAAAGGATGCACCAATACTTTATGGCTTTGAACAGTAGCAGACTCCCCCCTCCACTTTTTGTCAGCTCCTTCTTCCAGAAGCTATTTTAAAACCACATTTTTACTCTTCCAGATCTTTTTGTTCTTCAGATGCTATCTTCAAACTCTAGTTTTCAAAGGGCAGTAAGGAATCCTTTAGAGTGCTTTATTTCATTTCCTTCTGTCTTGTTTCTTGTCTGTGTAGACTGATTAGAACCTGACGTAGGCACTAGCTAGTCTTTTAATAATTTGGTGACAGTGTAACATGAACTACAACTTTCAAAAGCTCACTAAAGATAGCTTTTCCTCTACAGATTCAGATAGAGTTTTGCTAGATGAGAAAAATAAAGAAGCTACTTTTAGTGTACCTCATCAAAAGGAACAGGCTGTATAAGCCAAGAAAGAAGGTAGCACAAGGGACTGAATGGTGAGGATACAGGAAAGGAGAGCTCACGTTTGAAGATGACACAGCTGTAAGGGAGTCAGAAACCAACCATAAGGTGAACAGTAACAGGGAGACCAAACTCAGGGAACCTGTTGAGCTTCTGCAAAGTCAGTTCTAGCAGGAATCAACTCATTTGTTTATGTTACATAAACAAACAGATATGTGATAGACAAGTGCATAACAAATCTGAGTGCATTTTCATAGGAGAAAAAGAGAGAGGAATTAAATTTTACATCTGCTTTTGTAAGTCATATGGGATAACCACCTCTGGAGAGTAGAACAAAGGCAGAGAGAGGGTTTTTGCATAGTTACTGAACAGGATTATTACACTAGAGTAAGGCAAATCTTATGGATAATTTAAAAAAATTAGGTCATACAAACTTTGAGGTTTAATTTAAAGCTTAAGAGTAGAAACGTATTTCCTGTTTTGATGTGCAAGAGGATTCTGAATTGACCTTTGAAAGAGCAGTGTGGCTAGACTTTAAAATGCAACCATGGAAAAAGAATATGATTTCTGCAGGGGCACTCTCGTGATTTTGTTTAACGAGTCACACATAACTAGCTACCTTAGAGACTTTCCCAAGACTCACAGGTATAATATTTGAACAGTAGAATGATAAAATGGTAAAATAGTAGCTGCTCTTATATAAGCACTAGGAATTACTATATTTGACATATCAAAACAACATGTGTGAGGTTTTATATATGTAATATATTATAATTAATATTATATATAATGCAATATACATGTTAGAGGCCTGGAAAGCCTATGGATTAAATAAAAGATTATTTAACTGTTTAATGTTCTTTTCAACCTGGGATAAGAAAGGACTAATATAAGTAAGTATGGGAACACTTATGCTTTGTGAAAAACAAGGTACTATTGTCTAACATATGTGCTCAGGCTCTTCCTTAGTACAAATATCTCAGGCAAGAGTCTAAATATAAGCCTATGTATTAGATAGATGTTAAGTATAAAGCTACAAGGTAATTCAGTAAGTTCATATTTTCCCCTTTGGAAATCATTTTAACACCCTATTTAGAACTCTTAGAAAGCTCAAAATCCTTAAGAGACTTGTACATAAATATGCTAGTTTGGGAATAAGCTACCCTCTAGCCTTTGGAAAGGCCCTTTGTTCATTCTCAGGTCATTCTTGAAAACTAAGAGTAGTCATAGAAGATGTACAACCCATCACCGGGAAGGAAAATTCAGCTTAAACTTCACATCATACCTCTATGAGCAAAGATCACTGGGTTAGAACATTTGGAGTCTGGTGGTCTAGGATATGCTCACAAGTTCAGACTTAAGCTCTAGAGAGACCTATTTCCTTGATTCTGATGACTTCTAATCACAGGAAGAAATACTAATCCAAAGCAAGCCCAAAGTTAAGAGCAGTAAGTGCAGAAACAAAAGCCAAGGCCTCTCTCCATTTTTCTTCCCATGGATCTAATGGTAGAACTATAAATGCTGAACCAGGATTGATGCCAGGGCTGAAAGAAAACAAATCTAAATTCTTAAACTAGAATATATGGTTAGCCTGAAATTAGGGAGCATGTGTTAATCACAGAACACAAACAGTTGCAGTCTAAAAATGACCTGGCCATACAGTCCTGGATCATCAGGAATTGTATTTTGTAACAAAAATAAAATAATAATAATATGCATAAAGAAAAACATAAAGCAAAGCACAGAAAAAGAAAGGACTCCTTGGGTTCCTGGGATGCAATGAGCCCTTTGTTCATTAAGCATATATTCCTTTTGCAGTCTGGATGTGCAGCCAGAGGCATGCAGCTTATGATGCTCTTGGCACTCGGCAGATAGAGGCTCAGGACCACACATGTACAAGTTGTGCACATGCCCCCCATGGGGCAACACAAGACACAAGTGACTATGTCTTTGCTCTTTGTTCTGTTTTCATCCGTGTTCCTGCATGCTGTGAGCTGAGGTAAATGTTTACAAAACTTTTGGAAACTAGCATGTTAATTTTGATCCAAGGGATGGGTTGTTTCTGGGTCAACTGAGGGATTTTGAAATGGTCTTCAGTTGGAACATAAACCATTTCATTTTGTAATTATAAGAGAGATGAAACCAGATTTAATTCAACAACTTTTTTAATTGCTGTATCTGCTGTAAACTATGCTGCAAATTTATTTGTGTCGTTTGAACTGTAGTTTTCATAGGTTCAAAACAAAGCAGAATTGTGCAAAGATTCTCATGCTTACAAGGAACTCTTACTCGGTGTCACGGCAGTGCACTGTCACAGTAGCATTGTGAAAATCAGTATGGAATATTCCCAAAACATTAAATACAGGATGTCCATGTGTGCCAGCTTTCCACTCCTGGTGCATAACCAAAAAGTTCTACATCTTTTCACAGAGATACTCATGAACCCATGTTTCTTAATGCATTATTTGTAACAGACAGGAAATGGAACCAACCTAGATGTTTGCCGATAGATAAATGAATAAAGAAAATTTAGTACGTATGCACAACCGAATTTTATTCTACTATAAGGAAAAGCAAAATAATGAAAGGAGACTGACGAACCTGGAAGTAATTGAAGAGAGATTGATGGGCCTAGAAAGTATTACACTGAAAGGGCAACCAAAACTCATAGACAAAACCACATAATTGGGTTTATGCACAAATCTTAGCTTTTATGTCTACATATGTGTGCATAAAAGGGGTGAGTGTGGGTATAACTAAGAAACTAACAAGGAGGTCAGAAGAGGAAAAAAAGAAGGGACAATAGCACATTTGTGACATGAAAGCAGAAGAGAGGATAGAAGGACACAAGGAGTATGGTGGGCAAGAATGTAGATAAGAATATGGGGGAGGATAATCAAAATTTTATTTTAAAATTAAACCTACTACTGTGCATAATTAAAAAGTAAGCTGAAACATATTATATTGTCAGATACCATATAAATGGTAAAACCTGTCTGGAGGAATTCCATTTCGTACTATAACAGTCCCAGTGCACTTCTGGAATAGCATATGCTTGGAACAGTTGGTAGACTTAAGTTTATTATGTAATGTAATAATGTAATCTCAGCTGTAACAATGTTAGCTTCACTTTGTGTATGTATTAGCATTTGTTATTTGGCATCATACTCAGAGATTTATGCTTTACAAATGGTTAAGTTCAGAGATAATAGTTTCAAACTGGGTTGAGCAGTATGTGATCTCCATATTTTAACCTTTTGCCACTGAATAGTTGAAAATACTATGGGGAGTATTTTTGTTAAATGTAAGCATTTCTCCATTATATAAGCATTATGTTATTTTTAACTCTATATAAATATTAGTATATTGTTTCAATACCTATCTCTTCTGGATATGTAGTCTAATTGTATTTACTGTTTTGCTTACTTTTATCAATAAGCACATTTTAATTAGCATTCTTAAACACAATATTTTGTTTATTCACTTTTATTTTTACATTCTCAAGCATATATGGTAGTTTAAATTCACCTTCATATAATTATGATGTGTTACTGGTTCCATCATTAGTTATTGAAGTAAACAAAATCTTTGACACGTTTAAGTTTTTATTTGTATGAGGTTATGACCATGTTTTCTTTTAAAAAATACTTTTATTCATATTATTTCTAGTATTTAACACAAATGCATACATTGAAAGAGGTGCAGAAGGAGAAAAATGTTCTATATGAGAGGAACTTTCCTTTTCTTATAGTAGAAGAATCTGTGCATGTTATAGCTTTAGCATGGAAACCAAAACAAATTCATATCTTTTTTAATTAACTTAGTAGTTGATTGAAGAATAGAAGGACACAAGGGGTAGGGTGGACAGGAATGTAGATAAGAATATGGGGGAGGATTATTAATTAGTTTTTGAAGTCTTTAAAGAGAGGACTAGAGACATCATTTCTTTTACAAAGTAGTTCATTAATTTTTCCAAGAATTTCGTGAGAAATTCAATTACTCTGTACTCCAGTGAAGATGAGCGAAAATCAGTGTTAACTTGAAACTTTAATAGTATCATAAAATCCAAATAGAGATTTTTTAAGTAGATATAACATAAGTTCTTTTAAGTGAATGAAACATCTTGAATATGTTTTACAGATAATGTTTCTGTGAGCAAATTAAAACACAAAGGAAATTAAAATAGATTCACATTAAAATATCTAAGCAGTGAGAATAACACTGCGAGTACTACTAAACTCTACACAGTTTGTTACATTTGAACAAAAACTAAACTCCAGAATGGATGATTTGTCAACAAAAAAATACAAAGTCACTTCTAGAAATTTCCACCATGACTTAGCAAATAATTGTAGAAAAGGATAGATCTAACTTTTAAAACACTAGGAAGTCTCCAAATTGGCTTTTAGGCACCAGAGAGGTTTTCTTTCTACAAGCAATACAGAAAGTTTTAATTAGCACTTCAGCCTTAAAGAAGTCTAGTTTCAAAAATATCATTACAAAACTAATACTGACAAATATCAGACTGGTGTGGCTGAGGATTACACCGCAGTGATGTTAGCAGTAAAGAAATCTCAACTACACTCAGTCTGATAAAAGAATAATAAAGCTGAAAATGATAATACCTTTTAAACATGTTCTCTGGTAACAGCGTTCTGTGCTATCATTTATGGCTAATACTCGACAGTTCAGAAGAATGCAGAACTACATGAATACTGTCAGCAAAGATATGAACCTAATAGCTAAAATTTGAGTCCTGTAAAAGAAAGTTTTGTACAGTTTTGGCAATTGAAAGCTCAGAACAATCTGCAATCCTTTCTAGTGATGACTTGCTATGAAATTCACAAAATTAAAACTACCTTAGTAACACCTTTGCCCATGTAGATAAATTACAAATATATCTATCAGATCATCTAATGAGCCAGTTCTTGTTCATTTGAATTATTTTCCTTGACAATTGAAACAACTATTGCAGCATAAGACACTATTAGTGATGACTAAATCATTACTTTCACCCATTGTGACCTGACTGGCATACTTCAAAAAACACATATATAACTTTCCCCAGACTGACTTTTACTAACTAAAGGCAATCTTGTTCTGAAGAAAATCCAGAATAAAGCAATATTAGAAAAACTGAATCTATTTAGATGTCACTTTACTCATGAACAAGACTTTCTTCTGTCTTGATTTAATTATTACCTAAATGCCTGACAAGTCCTCCTCAATGATAAGTTCAAGGCTTTCCCTGGCTTGTATTATCATCTATAGTAGTCTACTAAAATACTGAAACAGTGCATACTATATAGATAAAATTCCTCTATGATTCATTTAAAAAAAAACAACCTGGGTCTTTTTCAAAACCATTTATCTTCATTTAGTAAAAGTCAGTAAAGTTGTATTTTATTGAATTAAAGTCCACACGTCTCAGGTTAGCTTTTCTTGCTGTAGCTGTTAAAAATTTCCTGATTTCAGTGAGTCGTCATCAAAATCAAAGAAGAAATATATCAGCACACCAAAGATAATATGTTTGTAAAATTATAGCTGCATTTTAAATAAATATTTCATATCTTGTCACTGGTATTTCTGGGTTTGTTCTTAGTTCTCAAACTTCTGATACTGGTATCTGGTTGTCCTTAAAATATTTACCAAATATAGAATTCAAGATTCTACCATAAAATCAGCCCAGATACAGTATCAGATCTAAGTTGTATATGATGATGCATTACCTACTTGCTTTGAGAGTTACCTAGGCTGCGTTTTGAATTGAAACAATAAAATAAAATGACAGAGTATTTACAGGTTCTTTTGCACTGCAATCTCTCTCTCTCTCTCTCTCTCTCTCTCTCTCTCTCTCTCTCTCTCTCTCTCTCTCTCTCTCCCTCCTCCTCTCTGTCTGCTTGTCTCTCTGATTTAGAAGATAAAAACAAATCCTTCATTGATTCCCTTGTAAAATGATTGATCATTTGTCTACACAGTAGAAATGGAAAGACCAAAGTTTCTATTTACAGATTTGGGAAAACTGATTTCCTCCTATGCCTGCAGTAAGATTTTTTTAAGTGGCTGGCAAAGTGTTTGCAGCTTCCACCAATATGTCTCCTTGGTGATTTGGAAAATGATTGCAAATGGTAGGTTTTGCTCACCAAGTGTCAAAATGGACATGCCACAGGATACAACCGTATGTAGCAGCAACTGAGAAATCCATAGGAATTCTGCTCAGTCGCTTTTCTTAAAGAAAAGAACATGAAATAACAGTGATAATGAACTCCGTCGGGTGCATAGAAAAGTTAAAAAGTGGGTTGGAGTCTTTTCTGGGCAAACCATTCACTGCCACCAAGTGACAATAGGACAGAGAGCTCTATAACAAACAAAAACCAAATTTCTTTACATGTCTGTAAGACGGAGTGAGGTCTCCTCCAGTGAGAATAGCAGAGCTCTGGTCAATATGGGTATGAACGTGCAAAGTCGTCGTCCATCTGTGAGAGCATGCAGGGCTGTGCGGGTTCCAGCAGGTCAGCTCCCAAGAGTTGATTGTGCTCATCTCCTTTCCAGTTCCACACACAGTGATAGCAGGTTGGCAACTTGAAGTCAGTCACAGTGGGAATATTTACTGGCCAACATTATCGGTTGAGGCTTTTCCCTCCATAGAGAGAGGGCTGTTAAACATTGATCAACACAAGTCTCATTTCATTCGAGGGTTTTCTTCGTGGCATTCAAGAAAGCCATTTGCTATTAAATCTTCTGGTTATAACATCATAAGTTCAAGTGGCACAAAACAGGCGAGCTCTCTCTCTGTTTTCACATGACAAGATCATACATTTTTTCTGGCTTTAAGGTGATGTTTTCAATATCCTGGATGCTTTTTCCGTTTAAGTGTTCAGTGGGACAGTCGTGACTGTATCCTGGGATGTCACTGATTGTTGACACTGTGTAGGATGCACTGCGGAGAGCGTCAGAGTGAGCAAAGCCATTTCCAAACTGGATTTTATATTGGTTCCAATTTCTTCTCAGAATTGCTTGAACCTATCAATCGACAAGAAACAGAAACAACAAGAACAACCCATTAGTTGAGATGAGAAATGTTCTATTTGAAGCACATCAAAAATGTTTTTGCAGAAAGGGTTTGTTTTTTAAATTTGAAAGGAAGAGCAAATGGTCCTGGTCTATACTTTTAGCTACTCATGAAACCAAGGCAGGAAGATTACAAAGCCAAAGCCTGCCTGCAAGATAGATCTGAATAAGCTCAGGCCAGTCTGAATATCTTACTGATACCTTGTGTCTAAGTAAAAAGTAAAGGAGCAAGAGAGATTTAGCTTCTTGGTAAGTTGCTTGCTTAGCATGTATGATGCCCTAAATTTGGTTCCAGGTACCACACATACACATAAAACACACGAGTTTTAAGTAAAATACTTTCGTATCAGGGAACACATTGCAACTAAACTGCATTTTTTATTTAATTAAAATTTTGATATTTTTATTCTGTATCTTGTCTTTAAAGCTATAATAATCCAAATGCATATGTATTCTTATCAAACACAATTCATCTATACCTTTCACATCCAACATAATATGTATATATGATTTTATATCAATACCTAAATGAAATGAGAGTCTAAGTGTTAAGAGTATACAGGATCTGGGAGAAGACACAAAAAAAAGACTATAGGGACAAGAGAAATCGTGCTATCATCATCACTAACAGTAGCTATTATTGAATGATTATTGCATCCTAAAATGGTGCTACTTTCTGAAAATAACAGGCCACAGACCTTACTTCCTAAAATAATGTAATGCATTAGACTGAACAAAAGTTATTGCAAAAAAAATGTTTAGGAATGTTACTACTCCACTTCTGCATATTTTATCTCTCCTTTTTTAATATTTTCAAGGATTTATTGTTTTTTATGTGCATGATTATTCTATCTGAATGTTTGTAAATGCATCAAGTGCACGTCTGCCAGGTACCCAACAAGGCCAGAAGAGTATATTAGGTGCCCAGAATTGTAGTCATGGATGTTTTTGAGCCATCATGTGGATACTGGGAGTGGGGGGAGGGAATGGTAGGAGAGGAGGGAATGGAAACTGTAGTCAGTGTGTAAAATAACATTTTAAAATGTTGATTAAATAAAACAAAAAATTTTAAAAGCATGTTACATTTTAAATTTATTTCTCTAGTACAAGACTGTGCTTATTTGACAACTGTTAAATTAGACATTCAGGACATTTAAATGGGAAAAAATGAAAAATACGTGTCTGGATCCTATTAAAGATATGGGTGTGGTTTCGGGGGGTTGTGTATGAGCTTTATGAAGGCATCTAAGTGAAACGCTTACCACAGCATATGCTCATTAGCAACTAGAAGAGTCAATAATAACACTCCTTAATCTAAATCAATTTTTAAGAATATGATAAAGGGCCGGGCGTTGGTGGCGCACGCCTTTAACCCCAGCACTCGGGAGGCAGAGACAGGAGGATCTCTGTGAGTTCGAGGCCAGGCTGGACCGACAGCCTCCAAAACAATACAGAGAAACCCTGTCTTGTAAAGAAAAAAAAAAGAATATGATAAAGGTTATAAAGAAAAACACCCAGTTCTCTTTACAGAATGTTAAGGCGTCCCAACAATTTGTTGTTGTTGTTATTGTTGTTTAGCTGATAAAAATACATATAAAGCATTGTTGATTCATATGCCCTTCTGATGGCCGTAGTCCCTTGTTTTTGTTACCAGGACATATTTTTCTTTGAGTGGAATGGTGCTGAAAGTGGCCCGGCCACTTGTCAAACTACAGTTAACTTGCAAGAAATGCTGAGAGGAGAATAGATGTCTGCTAAAAATCCACGGTGAGAGCCAGGTGCAAGCGCAGATAGTAGGCGATAGCGAGCCACTGGACCTAACGTGAAGGGCAAGAAAGAAACGCAAACCAAGCAACGGACTTTAACAAAAACATGACATACTTGGAACCACACAAACTGAATCTGGCAGCTGTCTCTTCTTGTTACAAGAGTGGGAAAAAAAACTAAGAGGCAAAGAGACAAAAAAGGATAGATTAAGGCATTTCTTAAGGTGAGGGATGAATCATGCTCCAACAGGGACTGTGTCTCCCAAGCAGAGGGAAAGAGGACAGATACTACAGATGTTGTGATGAACTGAGGGATCTGGCAACAACCTAGCTCAGAGATTTTCTTATTATTAAAGTTTTCCAACGCCAAAATTTTCTCAATTTAAGGCATGGCAGAAGAACAAGGTACTGAGTCTCTTTTGTTTATACAGATAAAGGACAACAGGAGTACAAGTCATTAACTTCAATATTCCCTGGACACTGTTTCAGAAGGAAAGCGCCAATTCGAAATTTAGATTACAGCCTGACTAATGCTCCCATTTCTACATGGTTTTTCATTGAAACAATGAATTATTTGACCAACGTAGCAATGAAGCTACGCTATTCTAAGGATGCGGTGAGGTTGGGGCATTGTATGAAAACTTTACATTCCTCATTTGCATTCACCTTTTCAACATCAGCATAAATAACTTTCTTTTATTTCTATTTTATAAGGACAAATATATGTTCCTTGGTTCCAAATCACTGCTAGGAAGAAAAAAGCATCTTCAGAGTTTAAAGGTCCTACTATGTACATTCTCCATCGCCTCCTACTCTGTTCCACTACTGTATCATCTACTTTCCAAGTGACTATGATTTAAATATTTAAAACCACACTACTCTGTGTCTAGATAAAAAGCACGTCTTCCAAATTTCATACATGCTTTTGGGCATGTGTTCATACAGTGCTCATGAATATTTAATTGTTATAGACAACATCAGCAACATACAGGATTGCCTAAGTCAGTGTATCTGCATATATACATACATACAGACATACAGACATGCATGCATGCATAATAAAGGCTATATGAGTTTCCCTGTCAAAACAAAAGGTTTGTCAGTCCCTTTTCATTGCATTGTCTGTCTACAAGTGTCATTGACTAGAGAAAAATAGTCAGGCTCACGTGTAACATAGAAGAGTCACAGAACTTAATTACAATTCAATAGCTACATTTGACAGTGCACTCTTCTATCCCACTATTATACACAGTGTCATAAATAAATATAAGGCCAGACAGTGGTGGCACATGCCTTTAATCTCAGAAATTAGGAGGCAGAGGCAGGTGGATCTCTGTGAGTTTGAGGCCAGCCTGGTCTACAGAGCTAGTTCCAGGACAGCTAGGGCTATACAAAGTAGCCCTGTCTCCAAAAAACAAAAATAAATAAATAGATGAAATTTAATGGCTATAGGTTCAATTGTATATATGCTAATTAAACAATTTGTTTGATTACATCCAAAGAGAAAAAAGTAAAAGCTTGCTTAGGCAAGGAAAAAGTACTCGATAGTTTCTCGTGAGCGGTATGTAATTTCCAATAATTTATTTTATAGGAAATATCCTCATGAATTGTGCTAACTGGTCCATGTGTTCCCCATGTGAGGTTTCCTGATGAGTTTCTCAGTAATCCAGTGCCCATTTCTAACAGAGTTGCTGTCTGGATTTCCGTGCTGTGCTCAACTTTGCGAGCATGCTCCAGATGAAAACTGGCCAAGCAGACCAGAAACAAATAAAAAGCAAAGTCAATAATGCTCCAACAACTGAGCAGTAACAATATCCATATGCATAGAAATATGTACCCAGTTAGGTTACAGAAGTCTCTCAAGTAAGAAGTACTCAGGTAAAAACCCATAAATTTTCAACGTTAATTTACTTTAATCTTTGTGTATCTGTGGTAAAAAAAAAAAAAACCTTTCAAAAAATAAGAGTTGAGCCTACTGAAAAAGAGGAAGGGGGAAATGAGTAGATTCTGTGTCTTGTGACAATATATGTTCCATGAAGTTAAAATTTGTCCAGCACTGTCCTCAGGGCAGCATCCAGACTTAGTACTTCATAACAGTAGGTCAATGGGCCAACTAGTCATTGGAATATTTTGAAGTAAGACTAACTTTTACTTACTTTTCAACTCTAATATTACCTGTGTTTTGAGATGAAAGTTTGTGCCTACAGAAAGTAATTTTATGTTATTTTTTCTGTGATAAAATTGGTATTTGAAATAGTTGTTTTGTACTTGGGCGGTGGTGGCACATGCCTCTAATCCCAGCACCCAGGGGACAGAGACAGGAAGATCTCTGAATTTGAGGCCAGCCTAGTCTGTAAAACAAAGTTCAAGGATAGCCACAACTACACAGAGAAACCCTGTCTTGAAGGAAAAATAAATAGTTGTTATGGGAGGAGTTCATTATCCCATCTTGTTTTTTTAAAAAATGTAAAAATTATAAAAATCAATAAGCTTACCTCTCCATTAAAAAAGCAGAAAATTGTAGCTACCAAAAGGCCCTGTTTAAAAAAAGAAGACAGAATTATCTGGATCTGTTTTAATTATATTGTTTATTTTTTAATTGTATATTTAAAATAGTTTCATCATATTCTTCCCCTCCCCCAAGTCCTTCCAGATCCTCTCCCCCTCCCTACCCACCCAACTTTGGTAAGTTCTTTCTCAAAAAACAAATACCCAATACAACAACAAAGCCAGGAAAGCAAAATAAAACCACACCCAAAAAGGAAAAACAAACAAACAAAAAACAACCACAAAACTGTAACCAAATAAAAGTACATACCCATGCAGGGACACGCGCACGCACGCGCACACACACACACACACACACACACACACACACACACCACCTAGGGAGTCCATTATATGTTGTTCACCTGCTCCTGAACATGAGGCCTGTCCTGGTGTGGTTATTGTACCCAGTGTCACTCCATGAAGGCTTTTCACACTCTCAGGAAGTAGGTATGAGTGACAGTTCAGTTGTGAACCTTTATAGTCACAGCTAGGCTTGCACTCATTCATTCATTCACTTGTTAAAAATGTAACAAAATATAATAAGATAAAGCAAACATTATCACACCGGAGTTGAACAAGGCAAAACAACAGAAGGAAAAGAGCCCAAGATGAGGCACACAAATCACAAAGGCTTCACGTATTTATAATACATAAGCCACCAAGACTGAAACCAAAGCAAACTCAGGACAAAACTTGCAAGCGCCCTCCTGATTGGAGTGCCTTACCTGATAGTGCATCAGGATGTGCATGACATAGTCATACACCTCCTCGGCAACCCTTCCTTCAGGCCGCCATGGGAAAAGCACAAACTCGATGCCAAGAAGTGGTACCAAGATGAGGGTAGCTCTCACCGCTTTCATGTAAAGATTGGACTCTGCTTGGTGGGTAACTTTCAACTTGGTGATGAGAACACGTACAATATTTAATAGGAAAAAGAGATTTACCTGAAAAGAAAATAAAAGGCAGTTCGTGCTGGAACTAAAAGTCTTATACAAACTCCCGTTTTATAAAACTTGGACTATTTCATGTACAAGGACTGAAGGCACATTTTGTATAATAATACACACATGAATTAGTATGTATTTCTGGAGTGTTGCTATTCGGTTTACAGGTACACAAATTTTGGTGAAATTCACTTTTATAAAAATAAAGCTGTGGTAGGATTGTAGAATTATTATGGCTCACATTTATTCAAGAAATATTTGGATTGTTTTCCTAGTTCATTTTCTATGTAATATTTAAGGTTTTTCTGTGATTCCAAATCAAGGCTATAAACACTTTTAGCAAAAGGAATTATTCTTAAGAAATGTTAAATTTTAAGGATTTACTCGTGTGTGTGTGTGTGTGCGTGTGCGTGTGCGTGTGCGTGTGTGTGTGTGTGTGTGTGTGTGTGTGTGTGTGTGTGTGTGTGTGTGTGTACCCATGGAGGCCAAAGGAAGATGTCAGATCACTGGAGCTGGAAATATAGACAGTTGTGAGCTGCCCAACATGAAGCTGAGAAGTGAACACAGGTCCTTTGGAAGAACAGCAAGTGTTTTTCACTGCTGGACCAACTCTCCAGCCTCAACAAATGCTAATTTTTAAAGAACCACCTTTTTCTCAGTGTCCATACTGTAGACTCTCCAAGCATATATTGTGCCATAAATACTGTTTTTATATATTTGGTTTCTCTTCCCTTTTGTAATAATCTTCACATTTCTTATAACAAGTACCTGAAATAGGACTGTAATGTTCTTTATGCTTATGAAGAGATGGCCAAACAACTTAATATTCGACTAGATGATGCTAGAGAAAGAATCCTTGGCTTCCCAAAACTTCTATAAATAACTTTCAGTAACTACAATTTTGTACTTATGGTGCTGTAGCAACTTTCCCCAAGAGATTACATTGTCTTTGAAGAGATTCATAGAACTCTGGAAATAGAATTTGACTCAGTAATTAAGAATCTGCCTTATGATACATTAATTTCCCTTCATTTATACCCTCCCTTCCCTTTCATCCACATTCTCTTTCTCCAAACTCTACTTTCTCTCCTTTTATATTGACTGTTTTAGTTCCTTTCCTGTTCTTGTAATAAAAATCCTCTGACAAAGCAGTGTAAAAATTTATTTCAGCACATGGTCCAAGGGGCAGTCTATTATAAAGGGAAGTAAAGGTGGCAGCCGTTGGTCACATTCTCTATTCAGTCAAGAATCGGAGGGGGGGGAGCAATGCACACTTGCACTCATCTCCCTTGCTCCACGTTATAAGGTCCAGGGTTACCTGGCTATGAAATGGTCCTACCCTCAATTAAAATGCATCTTCCCATATCAACTAAAGTAATTAAGAAAATCACCTACAAGCATGCCCAGAGGCCTGTAGGTGACTCTAAATCCTGTCAAGTTGACAGTTAAAACTGACCACTATGGCCGGGCGGTGATGGCGCATGCCTTTAAACCTAACACTCGGGAGGCAGAGACAGGTGGATTTCTGTGAGTCCGAGGCCGGGCTGGACCGACAGCCTCCAAAACAATACAGAGAAACCCTGTCTCGTAAAACCAAAATAAATAAATAAATAAATAAAAGACTAACCACTATGCTGACCAAAACACAAACTAAATTTTGTCTATTTCCCATTGGTTTTTAAGGGAACTATATCGAAAAATGTCATATTGGGCAAATTTGTTAATTTCTTTCTTTTCTCTCTCACTTTGACTTCTATATCATCTGTATTTTGTTTAGTAACCTAATCAGAAGATTTTAAACAGACAAATATACAGTTTACATCTATACACCTTAATAAACTCAAAGCCAGGCAGTAGTGGCACACGCCTTTAATCCCAGCATTCAGGAAGCAGAGACAAGGATCACTATGAGTTTGAGGACACCCTGATCTACAAAGTGAGTTTCAGGACAGCTAGAGCTGTTACACAGAGAATCCCTGTCTCAAAAAAGAAATTCAATAAATAAATAAATAAATGGAAATTCAAACAATGGTATCCCATCTCTTGAGGCAAAAAAATGAATAATTTATTAGTTTTTAAACATGTGTAATGAAAATGATTAAGCATAAAATTACTCCGCTGTTAAGAGGATTCGATGTAACATAGACTTTAAAAATATGCGGCTAACCAAACTCCTAATGAGAACACATCTGTGAAAAGAGCATGTTTGTAGACACTGGAATGCAATGAAGTCCAAGAGAGAATGACACTCAACAGGTGGGTATGAAAGATGACACGCGCCAGCACGCTGGCTGTGCTCCTGCCCCTTCTAAGTAAATTTCCCTCTTAAATAAATAAAACATTACTACCCCTTCCTGGGAAAAAGTTGGGCAATGACTTTTTATCCACTTATAAATGAACTTTTATCCACTTATAAGTTATAGGTATAAATTATAAAGTGCAAAAAATGTTAATTAATAAATGGTTAGAAATGTGGCAGTTTAGATCTACCCTCCATGAAAGAATAGGTAAATACAAAGGGATTCCTTAAAGCCATCATGCTTACTTAAAACATGAAACTGGAACTGATGAGGAAGCTAATGTGTCTGTAAGCTTCTGTTTATAATAGCTGGAGCAGGGTGAACTGGATGCCATGCTCTGTGCAATTTCCCACATCAGTAAGTATTTTATGCAAAAGTAGAACAAGAATTTCAAATTTCAGATGAACTGTATCTAAATTTCATCTAACTCAGGACAGACCTGGTTTAAAGATTACTGGTGTTTTCATTTATTTATGTTTTGAGAATTTTGTACATGAGTACACCATTTTCATCATCAAACCCCCCACACTCTCCTCTTCCTTCCTGAAACCTCCCACACAGGAACACCCTCTCAAATTCATGGCCTTTTCTTTATTATTGTTATATGTGTGTGTGTGTGTGTGTATTTAGGCACACATACAAACATGTAAGCATATCTGTAAGTGTTGCTTATGTGAGCACTTGGTTAGCCGATTATGGGGCCCATTCCCAGGGAAGATGAAGAGGTACAGGTATTAGTGCCTGCTGAGAAACCTGTTTTTAGTAGGACATCCATAATGTTCAATAGTCTGTAGATGCCACAAGATACATTCAGATCACCATAGTGCCCAGGGTCACAGAAAGAAGCAGAGTGAGTCAGCACAGTGGCTACAGGAATAGTGTTGGAAGACTTTTACGCAAGGATGGCCACTAATTCCTCATCTATGCCCTCAAGTGACCTAAACATCTCGAAGATCTCAAATCAAATGCATCCTTTCTCAGTAGTATATGAAAGTGCTGTAACTGCACCCTTGCCTGCTCGTAGTGGGGAAGTGCGAAGGAGGAAGTCTGAGTGGGAAAGATGGATGGTGGTTTAAATGACTTATTTATTTACACTGTACAAAGACACATGGACTAGAGCCCCACCTAAGCTCCTGGAATTTAAAGGGCACCAAAGCTAAAACAAGGACAGAACAACTTAAATCTGTTAAGAGTCTCTTAGTTTTATCTTAGGTCACTCAGTAAGAGTCAAAGGTTTTACAAAGATAAAGCACATATTTACTTTATTTTACTGAGCAGTGTGATAAGCTACGTGTCATTTTTACTGAGGCTATATCTCTGGTCTTCTCTCCCAAAGCTGGTGTAGACAGGCTTTTCTGGAGATTGAGTTTGCTGTGGTTATATTTTCCATTTGGCAGGTGCTTTTACTTCATCAGCATCTCTGGTTTTAAGAGTTGTAATCAAAAATACCTCTGCACACTCTGATCATGTGCAATAAAATACTGACTTGGGTTTGTTTATGAGTGCTCCATGCAATGTTAATTTCTTTGCGCTTTGTCCCAAACTGAATCATGATATCATGCAGAAATAACAAGTAAAGAATTGTTTAAAGAATTCTTCTGAGCATTTTATCATATTCTAGGCATTCTGTTAATCACATACCAGGACATGTCATTTACTCCTGAAAAGCCTTGTTGAGGAATTCCTAATATTCCACTGTTACAGAAGAGGAGGCAAAGTCATGGAGACATTGAAAATAAAACAAACTGGAACTGGAGAGATGGCTCAGTGGTTAAAAACCACAGTCTGCTCTTCCAGAGGATCTGGGTTCAATTCTCAGTATCCATGTGGCTTCAGGGGATCTAACACCATCACACAGATTTTGAGAATATCTTGACAATGATATTTGAGAACTACATAAACAGTGTTGTAAGGCAACCATATAAAATAAATTGAAGCTGTAAAACAGTAGTAAAATTATAGAAGAATTTTTGTGTAAAAAAAAAGAATCTGAAAGCAAGAGTCAGAATAGTTTAACTTGTTCTAAGAAATATACACCTTTATCTTTTTTTTTATTTTCGAGGCAGGGTTTCTCCGAGGCTTTTGGAGGCTGTCCTGGAACTAGCCCTTATAGACCAGGCTGGCCTCGAACTCACAGAGATCCGCCTGCCTCTGCCTCCCGAGTGCTGGGATTAAAGGTGTGTGCCACCAACGCAACTAATTGCCAGCTACAGAGTTTCACAGGTAGGAAATGTAATTGCCTTAGGATCTCTCATGCTCTGTGCTAGTTTGTTTTAATTTATTGCTCACTGAAGTAACATAATGAAAGCACAAAATGTGACTTTTGCTGCCCTGTAACTGAAACGAACAGAAGATAAAATTGCCCAGGCAGCTTAGGGATAAGGACCCCCAAAGTGCAAAATTCCATTCTCATTGTTGGCCGGAATCAGGGTATGTTCTTGGATTTGTGGTTAGGAATGCCAGAAAGGAAATCTGGGTTCTTTCTTATTACTATTAAGGTTTATTTATTTGTGTGGAAAGGTGAGTATAGGCCCAACTTCTACTTACCCTCTTAGGGATTTACTGCCTGGGGACTGCAGGCAGGTTGACTCACCCCAGGAAGATCAAGCCATCCAGAGTCTACTAACATTAGAGTGCTAGTCCCACCTCCACCCACAGGGAGAGGGAGTGTCTCAGACCTGCCTGCACCCATCGTGAGAC